GTGACCCTTGCATCAAGAAACCAGCAGCCCAGGAATGTGCTGGTGGTGGTACGTACGGACGTGCTACTAGTGGTACGTGTTCGTACATTCAATACACTAACTAGGCCTCACCAATAGAAATGTGTACTACTTTTAACACATATTTTTTTTTTTTTACACAAGACACAACTGAGATTACAGAAATCAATAATTTTACAGGTCAGAATGAAAAGAAATTATGAAAGACCGAAGTCACTACACTTCAATTTTGTGCATCCCTGGTAAGGCCCCATTTAGATTATGTTGCACAATTCTGGTCTCCATAATACAGAATGGACATAGTAACTGCACTGGAAAACATACAGAGAAGGATGACAAAGTTTATTCCCCGTATCAGACATCTATCTTGCGAAGAGACTGAAGATGGCGAATTTGCACTTCCTGGAAAGACATAAAAATAGGGAAGATATGACGGAGTTTAATGTAAAACTGAATAAATAAAGGAGATATAAATGTGGTGAAAATATCCAGCCAAAACAAAAACTCACTGCAATGAATTCAAATTGGAAAAGTTTAGATTTAGCAAGAATGGTATATAAATCACAGACCGGTGAGACTCGAACCCTTGGCAAGTGAATGCTAAACCTGACAAGTCAGTGCTTGCAATAGTGTTATTACGGCTTCGATGGATTTGAACCCGTGGCAAGTGAATCTTAAAACTCCAGGCCAGTGCGTAAGCACTTCAAACAAACCCGTTCGTAGTTTGCTTGGAATCGCGTTATTGCTATTGCGTGAACTTTGAATAGCTTTAAAAACTAAGTTGTGCAGGTGCATGAGTAGGTGTGAGATGGACTTGCCTAGCATGGACCAACAGGCCTACTTACAGTGTTCCTCCAGTCTTGTGTAATATTTAACTACCAGTATATCAACAGGAAGACTGGCGGGAGGCTCCCCCCCCTCCCTCGCTTCTTCCTCCTGCCTTTGTCCTGAGATCTACTCCTCCTCTTCCTCAACCTCAACATGTTAATTGATGGGGTAAGGCGGTTGAAAAGATTGATGAAGGAGGGAGGGTGAAAACGGTTGAGGAGAGTTTGTAGGAGATAAAGGGGAATACACGAAGGTTAAAAATTATCGACGTTCAGGCATTGCTTTAGTTGATGCTGCACGTTCCTATCATTCATTCAGTAGATGCTGCACTTTTCTAACTAAACACTGAGTGGATGCTTCACGTTTTTACTCAGTGAATGGTTGATGGTGTTATCACCTTGGTACGAGGGCAGGCAAGTACTGCTGCTGCTGATACACGGGTGTCTTCTTGATGCTCTCACTCGTATTTTTAGTCACTGCGGCCACAAGCATTCAAGGGCGCAGAGTTGTTTTTCAGGAGGGAGGAAGAGGGGATGGAGGGGAAGAGGGGATGGGGAAGGGGGGGAAGGAGGGATGGAGGGAGGTAGAGGTATGAGAGATGAAGGAGGTGGGGAATAGGAAGGGTCAAGGACGATAATACGAAGCGACAATTGACACAAAATATATATATAATATTTTGGCCAAGTTATTATTAAAAGTAATAACAGTTACTAATACAGTTAATAACAGTTATCACTAATAAGAGCAATAAAAATGATAGTTATTATTTATGTATTCGATAGTTACAACACAAAGATATTAAGCAGCTGTGCTCACATCACTGGTGCTCACAATACTGGTGCTCACAATACTGGTGCTCACAACACTGGTGCTCACATCACTGGTGCTCACAATACTGCTCACAACACTGGTGCTCACACCACTGGTGCTCACACCACTGGTGCTCACAATACTGGTGCTCACACCACTGGTGCTCACAACACTGGTGCTCACAACACTGGTGCTCACACCACTGGTGCTCACACCACTGGTGCTCACACCACTGGTGTTCACAACACTGGTGCTCACAACACTGGTGCTCACAACACTGGTGCTCACACCACTGGTGCTCACAACACTGGTGCTCACACCACTGGTGCTCACACCACTGGTGTTCACAACACTGGTGCTCACAACACTGGTGCTCACAATACTGGTGCTCACAACACTGGTGCTCACAATACTGGTGCTCACAACACTGGTGCTCACACCACTGGTGCTCACACCACTGGTGCTCACACCACTGGTGCTCACACCACTGGTGCTCACACCACTGGTGTTCACATCACTGCCATAGTAATCTAGCATACTAATCACCCTTTTCGCAGAAAACCGCGAAAAAAAACACGGGCAACAAGCAAGCGAAATAAATGCACAAAAAATGACATACTGAGAGTTTCAGTGTTCTAGCACTGAAGGTCAAAGTCAAAAGCAAACCAAAGTTACTCCACAGCCACGTAAGGTAGAAGACCCAGACTCATGAAATCGTAGTAACACGATTGCAGTTTTAGGACTCACTAGCCATGGGTTCAAACCCCACCCGTTCCGTGGTTTAAAGAAGACGGTGTGATAATTAAGTTATAATCTTTAAACCATACCACGGTCGGGATAGAACCCGCGGTCAGAGAGTCATCAAACTCCAGACCGACGCGTTAGCCACTGGGCCAGCTGGCTACAATAAGATTCATCCAACTAGGTATATTTATACACCATACGATTGTAGCCAGCTAGCAAGGTGGCTAACGTCTTCAACCAATTTCTCCAATCAGAGAAACTGCCATAAATGCAGAAGGCAATGCATTCCCCATACACAAAAAGGGAGGCTAACAATAGACTGAATTACAGACCAGTATCTCTAACAAGCATGCTTTCCTAAGGGATGTAAGGAAGCATTTCTTTAGCAGTAGGGTGGTTAAGAAGTGGAATGACTTGGATGAGGCAGTGGTGGAGGCAAACTCAATACACAGCTTCAAGAGTGGATATGAAAAGGCCCAATAGACCAGAAATCATTGAAAATCAATCAGTCTAGGAGACAGGGCCAGGAGTGGAGTCTCGAACCCCCTGCAAAGACAATTCGGGGAGTACAACGATTTTCAAATGTTAGGATCCAAGATTATTACTACCATCAGCAAGACCCACCACCATTACCAACTATACGACTCACCACCATTATTACCAACTGACCAGAAGTATCGCTAAACGTAGCAACTCTGCTACGCTAACAACACCTGCCGCGTCCCGACATTCTCAGGAGATAAGACATTACTTGAGTACAAACAGGAAGCGCATCTGTCTAGCGCTCAGCAGACGGAAGATCAAGCTGCCACCACATCTTGCACTGAATGACCCACATAAAACAATCTTTCCCAGGTTACATGCTTCATCATCATATACCTACTCTTAGAGCTGTGCTTGGAAGTTACCCCAGCCACTCTCTCCTCTAGATTCCGAGTTCCCTGGGGCCTGGTCATGCCTCCAGCAGCGTTTTTTTTTACCTCGGAGAATTTAAGGTCAGGGCACACATCCGCCTGACCAACTGGGAAAAATAATTGTGAAACTAGGAATTGATAGTATGGGGTGTTAGGTGAAGGTTAAGCGAGGTGAGGTACCGATAGGCAAGGTAAGATGCTATGAGGGTTAGGTGAAGGTGAGGTGAGGTACTGAGAGACATGGTAAGGTGCTACAAGATTTAGGTGAAGGTGAAGCCAGGTACTGAGAGACATGTTAAAGTGCTACAAGAGTTAGGTGAAGGTGAAGCCAGGTACTGAGAGACATGGTAAGGTACTACAAGAGTTAGATGAAGGCGAGATCTCAACGCTGAATCTCATATATGTAACAGTATTAACATGGGAATGTGATTTAAAATGCTGAAGAAGAAGCACAGGGCTGTAAGAGAGACGCTGGACACAGATATGGAAGAGGATGGAACAGACGCAGACCGTAGGGATGTCCCAATGCAAGAGAGGAAAATATTGAAAATGAAGCGCAGAAAGAGAACGCAACACAACGTTAGAGGCTAGGAGGAAAGTGACGCAGTTAAGAGGATCCTGCAAGTTGGAGGGCGGCCATGTACATGCGCCTGGGAGATGGAGGTAATCATGTTTAATCCGAGGAAGGGACTCTAATTCCTTGGCCCAAGAACCTTCACGGGCACGCACACATACTACAAAATAATAAAGATCATCTTAACATCTTACAATAGCTCTTCTTAAGACAGCCATCTTAGTGTATGTCTATTGGTGTTTTAAGTATTTAAACTCAAGTTAACACTGTACTGATGATGCCACAATGCTGTGTATATTATTACTATAATGAAGTTAAGCACTGAATCTGAAAAGATTATACATTGATTGTGTGTATAACTACGGTAAATATGTATAACAGCGTCAGTTTGATGAATAAAACACGTGTAATCTTGACTGACCCAAGTGAAAACATTTAACCCAGAAGATAATGCATTAACCCAAGTGATAACAATTATTGACCCAAGTGACAGCATTTACTGACCCAAGTGATAAGAATTATTGACCCAAGTGATAAGAATTACTGACCCAAGTGACAGCATTTACTGACCCAAGTGATAAGAATTATTGACCCAAATGATAAGAATTACTGACCCAAGTGATAACATTCACTGACCCAAGTGCTGAACACACCAAAGTGTTGTTCACGTGTCTTATTCACAGTAGTCTGTACGTGCTTGAAACTCTCTTACAGATCTTATGATCAGTAATGTGTTGTAGCTACAGTATTATAGCAGGGAGTAAATTAAGAGCCAGAGAAGCCACTTAGCTAACACAAGTGTACCAGTGTCAGAGCTTTGGAGACACCCTAGATCAGGGGTTCTTAACCTGGGGTATACATACCCCTGGGGGTATGGCAAGCAACTATCAGCTCTTCTGTTCCTAGCTATCCATATGTAAGGTTAAACCGGGTTATTGACATCTTCTGAAGTCATACTGGTACCTAAAAGAACTGGTGGTGATGACTTCAGCAGTCTGGTGAATGGGGTATGGGGCCATATTGGGCAATCCACTAGGGACTGTAATCGTAAAAAAGTTAAGTACCCCTGTTCCTAGATGATCCCTCGAGTCCGTTTTCTTTCTCGGTTTCAGAATGGTGATGCAGGATATTAGTGACGTCAGGAGTGACGCAAGGGATGACACATCATCTAGGAGTGCTGTCCGGATTGTCGGCGACGTTAGTGACGTCAGGAGTGATGTGGGCGCTGCTTCAGCTAAAAGTGACACAGATAATGCCTCGGCCAGGAGTGACATCAGCATCAACTCCAGCTTCGTCGCCACCTTTAACGACAACATCTTCTGTCGTGTCAACTACAGGACGCCACGACGACACATGAAACACGTCACAGAAATGTGAGTACATGTCATTCACCACAGGTGAGCGAAACGTCTCCATCAATAAAGACACCCAGGTGGCACATACGTCTTATTCATCAATATGTCGGTATTGTATGTTATTAAAGTGATGATACCTGTCACTCTTATGCCTCCAGTACCACACTGAGTATACATTTTGTGTATTGGTGAATAAATTGTGACCAGTAAATACTGACTCTTTCCAGGGAGATGAATTACACACAGGGGCAGGGAAGGAAGGGGAAGCAAGAGGAAGAGAACAACTAGGAAGATGTAGAGGTAACAGATGGATGGGGGAAGGGAAATGAGAGAGGTATTTGAGGGCAGGGCCAATGAAGGTGGGAATAATGAAGTCATGGAGGACAGGTTAGGCAGTGACTTCAATGCTGCCAGGAAGTGATCCTCCTCGCACACTACCATCCCTCACCCCCCAACACCTCAATATTGATAAGATAAGATTTCGTTCGGATTTTTAACCCCGGAGGGTTAGCCACCCAGGATAACCCAAGAAAGTCAGTGCGTCATCGAGGACTTACTTATTTCCATTGGGGTCCTCAATCTTGTCCCCAGGATGCGACCCACACCAGTCGACTAACACCCAGGTACCTATTTGCTGCTAGGTGAACAGGACAACAGGTGTAAGGAAACGTGTCGAAATGTTTCCACCCGCCGGGAATCGAACCCGGGCCCTCCGTGTGTGAAGCGGGAGCTTTAGCCACCAGGTCACCGGGCCACCCATTCCTTCTCTCCATCCCTCCAGCCACGCATATACTCTTCCTTGTTACCCTGCCATCCCAGACATCCGCACACTAACACAGCATCAATAAATTTAGACCAGTCTTAACTGACTCTCTCCTACCTCACATTCCACTCTCTAGCCTCGACACAAAATATGACCTACACTTCCCTTCCTATTAATATTATTATTATTATTATTATTAAACACTAAACTTGTGAGAGTCATTAAGGGCTAGTCCCGCTGCAGGCTTGATCGTCCATCCTCTAGTTGTGGTTCGGTCTTTTATCAATCAGCCTATTGGTAACTGTAGCTTTCATCTGTTATATGCCTCACAAGAGTCAAGTTTAAAAATAAAATCCATTTTTCTTCCTATTACACACTGGTAGAATGTTTGCATTGGTTAGATGTTTACAGTTGTCGAGCATTTTCCTGTATATTACTTGGGAGAAGCCTAGCTGACAGGGCTGCTGTCAGGCGCTTTACGGACTGAGGACACAGCCAGCAAACACTCATTGAACTTAATGGTGCACGGATTTAGCCCTTTAACTACAGATATTTATTTATTTATTGTTGGTGTCGCCTCTTATATCTGTATTTTATCGCTATTTCTATAAAAAATGAAAAACAAACAACGCTGTTATATACTCAATATTTTTGTTTCTCACTCCTCTACTGTAAATACTTTTTAAATACACAGTTATAAACATTTTGAATACACAAGTTCCTAGATATTTCAATATACATATTTCTAGACATTTTGAATATACAGAGATGAGCGTCCAAGTCCTGTATTACCGTAGCTTCAGTGTCTGACGTCATACACTCATCCACAACTCTATTACCAAACCAGTACTTTCCTATATCCTTCCTGAATCTGAATTTTTCCAACTTAAAACCATTGCTGCGAGTCCTGTCTAGGCTAGATATTTTCAGCACACTATTTACATCCCCTTTATTTATTCCTGTCTTCCATTTATACACCTCAATCATATCCTCCCTAATTCTACGTCTTTCTAGAGAGTGCAGATTCAGGGCCCTTAGTCTGTCCTCATAGGGAAGGTTCCTGATACATGGGATCAACTTTGTCATCCTCCTTTGTACATTTTCCAGAGAATTTATATCCATTCTGTAATACGGTGACCAAAACTGTGCAGCATAATCTAAATGAGGCCTAACCAAGGATGTATAGAGTTGAAGAACAACCTGAGGACTCCTATTATTTATGCTTCTTGATATGAAGCCAAGGATTCTATTAGCTTTATTGCGAACACTTATGCACTGTTGTCTTGGTTTCAGATTACTGCTAACCAGAACTCCTAAATCTTTTTCGCAATCCTTAATATTACGGATTGCGAAAAAGATTTAGGAGTTCTGGTTAGCAGTAATCTGAAACCAAGACAACAGTGCATAAGTGTTCGCAATAAAGCTAATAGAATCCTTGGCTTCATATCAAGAAGCATAAATAATAGGAGTCCTCAGGTTGTTCTTCAACTCTATACATCCTTGGTTAGGCCTCATTTAGATTATGCTGCACAGTTTTGGTCACCGTATTACAGAATGGATATAAATTCTCTGGAAAATGTACAAAGGAGGATGACAAAGTTGATCCCATGTATCAGAAACCTTCCCTATGAGGACAGACTAAGGGCCCTGAATCTGCACTCTCTAGAAAGACGTAGAATTAGGGGGGATATGATTGAGGTGTATAAATGGAAGACAGGAAAAATAAAGAGGATGTAAATAGTGTGCTGAAAATACTAGCCTAGACAGGACTCGCAGCAATGGTTTTAGTTGGAAAATTCAGATTCAGGAAGGATATAGGAAGTACTGGTTTGGTAATAGAGTTGTGGATGAGTGGAACAAACTCCCGAGTACGTTTATAGAGGCCAGAACGTTGTGTAGCTTTAAAAATAGGTTGGATAAATACATGAGTGGATGTGGGTGGGTGTGAGTTGGACCTGATATCTTGTGCTACCAGGTCGGTTGCCGTGTTCCTCCCTTAAGTCAATGTGACCTGACCTGACTAGGTTGGGTGCATTGGCTTAAGCCGGTAGGAGACTTGGACCTGCCTCGCATGGGCCAGTAGGCCTTCTGCAGTGTTCCTTCGTTCTTATGTTCTTATGTTCTTATACATTATCACAATATAAAGCTGAATGTTTGTCTACGTACTGTGACATAACGAAGTGGTCTCACTTAGTACTAAGGACGCAGGACGCAACACTGTTGACAGTTGACTTTATTAGTCAAATATAATAGAAACATTCGCTTATCCAACTCTTTGAATGCAGTATCGACAATTTGCTTCCATTATTTGTAATGACTGTAGCGATTGATGATTCATTACTAGTTTTATCTTACTAATCTGCTATCTTACCATTAAACAAATAGCTGGTGTGGTGAGTTATTAGTTGCCATATTAGACAAACCACCAGACTGCAACTTAAAACAATTAACACTGGTTCTGTTGTATTCCACAAACCATATACAAACTTAGTCATAGTTCCTATTATGTATCACAGAAATCGTTAAAATGTAAAAATTTATTAGTGACAAATTTTAACGAAAAAATGAAATATTTCAGTGTTTTAAAACAAAAGATAAGTGCTGAGGTCTCACTCAGTTATACATCCAGAAACAAGGAAGTCCAGCATCCAGAAACAAGGAAGTCCAGCATCCAGAAACAAGGAAGTTCAGCATCCAGAAACAAGGAAGTCCAGCATCCAGAAACAAGGAAGTCCAGCATCCAGAAACAAGGAAGTCCAGCATCCAGAAACAAGGAAGTCCAGCATCCAGAAACAAGGAAGTCCAGCATCCAGAAACAAGGAAGTCCAGCATCCAGAAACAAGGAAGTCCAGCATCCAGAAACAAGGAAGTCCAGCATCCAGAAACAAGGAAGTCCAGCATCCAGAAACAAGGAAGTCCAGCATCCAGAAACAAGGAAGTCCAGCATCCAGAAACAAGGAAGTCCAGCATCCAGAAACAAGGAAGTCCAGCATCCAGAAACAAGGAAGTTCAGCATCCAGAAACAAGGAAGTCCAGCATCCAGAAACAAGGAAGTCCAGCATCCAGAAACAAGGAAGTCCAGCATCCAGAAACAGGAAGTCCAGCATCCAGAAACAAGGAAGTCCAGCATCCAGAAACAAGGAAGTACAGCATCCAGAAACAAGGAAGTCCAGCATCCAGAAACAAGGAAGTCCAGCATCCAGAAACAAGGAAGTTCAGCATCCAGAAACAAGGAAGTCCAGCATCCAGAAACAAGGAAGTCCAGCATCCAGAAACAAGGAAGTTCAGCATCCAGAAACAAGGAAGTCCAGCATCCAGAAACAAGGAAGTCCAGCATCCAGAAACAAGGAAGTCCAGCATCCAGAAACAAGGAAGTCCAGCATCCAGAAACAAGGAAGTTCAGCATCCAGAAACAAGGAAGTCCAGCATCCAGAAACAAGGAAGTCCAGCATCCAGAAACAAGGAAGTTCAGCATCCAGAAACAAGGAAGTCCAGCATCCAGAAACAAGGAAGTCCAGCATCCAGAAACAAGGAAGTCCAGCATCCAGAAACAAGGAAGTTCAGCATCCAGAAACAAGGAAGTTCAGCATCCAGAAACAAGGAAGTCCAGCATCCAGAAATTCAGGAAGTCCAGCATCCAGAAACAAGGAAGTCCAGCATCCAGAAACAAGGAAGTCCAGCATCCAGAAACAAGGAAGTCCAGCATCCAGAAACAAGGAAGTCCAGCATCCAGAAACAAGGAAGTCAGCATCCAGAAACAAGGAAGTTCAGCATCCAGAAACAAGGAAGTTCAGCATCCAGAAACAAGGAAGTTCAGCATCCAGAAACAAGGAAGTCCAGCATCCAGAAACAAGGAAGTCCAGCATCCAGAAACAAGGAAGTCCAGCATCCAGAAACAAGGAAGTCCAGCATCCAGAAACAAGGAAGTCCAGCATCCAGAAACAAGGAAGTCAGCATCCAGAAACAAGGAAGTCCAGCATCCAGAAACAAGGAAGTCCAGCATCCAGAAACAAGGAAGTCCAGCATCCAGAAACAAGGAAGTCCAGCATCCAGAAACAAGGAAGTCCAGCATCCAGAAACAAGGAAGTCCAGCATCCAGAAACAAGGAAGTCCAGCATCCAGAAACAAGGAAGTCCAGCATCCAGAAACAAGGAAGTCCAGCATCCAGAAACAAGGAAGTCCAGCATCCAGAAACAAGGAAGTCCAGCATCCAGAAACAAGGAAGTCCAGCATCCAGAAACAAGGAAGTCCAGCA